GTATGTATGCTCCTTATGATACTCCCAACAGCATTGTGATATTTCCATGCTTCAATTTTTGCTTTCGCAATGTATGCAAATATGTATGCTTTTGCGATTTGCCGTCGGCAATTCAATATTGATGTGTGGAATACAATGCTCGTGACAGACTGCAGTAGCACGACAGTGAACTGAAAATGGCGTTCTGAATCCTACTACTTGAACGTTTGTGAGAGGGCAGCAACATAATAATGGCTGGCATGTACACAAAACAACGCAGTTGTCCATTTTGCATGTACACAATTTCGTTGAGGCCATACTAATAGGTACCGTGCACTTCAATGAAATTTTAATATTTTATTAAAAATGAAATTTTTAAGCAAAAAATAAGTAAATAGGTAAAGTTATTTGTTTTAAATTATCAATTGTTGTTATAAATGATGTAACAGAGCTATTTTAGCTTTTATTTGTAAAATAACGTCAGGTTTGTTAGAGCTTTGAATAATTTTCCATTTTACATATTAGTGGCATTACCACTCTACCTCATCTCTCTATCTTCCATTCTACTGTCAACTCTACTGTCATCCTACTGTCGTTGGCAAATATAGGATCAAATTGAAGTTAGCGAGAACGACAACTGTCTGCCTGCAGTCGTGTAGCTGTCTAAATAGGTCCGTCCATAATAACGTGTGTATTTTAATATTTGACAGATGTCTTTTGCAGTCTGTCACGAGCATTGTATTCCACACATGATACAGTCTCAAGTCTCTAAATTTGAGATTTTAAGTTAGAGACAATTTTTGATACTTGAGACTATTTTGCTATTCTGTAAGTGACAGCCACAAAATCTATTACGTTTCTTTATTCAGAGATGTTTTTATACTTGAATGAAAATAAAAATGTCGATAACAAATATTAAATTTTCTATAAGATAGTCAAAAAACATAATTATCATAAAAATAAAAATATTGGTTGACTTTGTTTCATAATATTAACGAAATTTATGTAAAATTGATTTATTTTTAACCTTTTCGTGTTTGAGTTGCTTACAAAATATAAAAAAAGACAATCGATTAATATCCATGATGATCTCTATTCAGTATGTTCAAAATGGCAGACAAGAGTTCTTTTTGGTTTTGTGACCATTTATTAACTACCAGGCTTCAAATTTGAGGCAATATTTTGACACTAAAGCTAGAGACTGTTTAGTGAATAGTAACTAGTCACAAATTAAGATATTAACTCAAAATGTCTCATATAGAGACTGGGTACAGAATCCCGCTATTAATTTTAATATCTATAAAGTTCGTGGTATACGTACCGAAGATTTTTAGATTTAATAATTTGTAATACATAAGAAAGACATGGTTACCCTGGTTCTGTTGAATAATTCTGAGAACTTGGCATTCCCATATGTCATGTTTTGTTGGCTTTGTATATTCCTTCATTTATCTTTATTTCATTCGTGCTTTCAATTGAAGAATTTCATTTTATTTTTTCAATTAGTAAACTTGCTTGTTACGCTTGCGATTTTAAGGACATTTTGTACTAACTCATACCTGTGTACAGAACCGAAACTTGTAGTTATTTAAAAAAGTTGCATATTTGTATTTTGAACAAATATAAATGATCGTCAATCGAAATCGTTTATGCCTTCATTTAAATTCCAGTCGGATATATTTTAATCAGTGAGGTAATAAATATAAAAAACAAAATTACAAATAACATTGTCTCTGGAAAATGCCAAAGCAAATTCAGTGAAAAGTGAAGCTGCTGAAGTAAATATGTGACGAAAACGAAAAAATAGATACTATTATTGTGGCTTGCATTCTATTTTTAAACATTAGTGATTATTATCGACTGTCCATAGTTATAAATAAATAGACTATAAAAAAATACAAGCCAGTTGCTCTTAGCCCATCATATCACTGCAAGCCTGCATAGAAGATACAGATAATATAACAAACGTGGGTTCACAACAGAGGCGTCATCAAATGCATTTTATTGACTGATTTCGCACCAACAACAAAGTTTGTCTTCGCGATACCCGATTGCAAAATCCAGTTTTCCCCATTCTTTCAGGTACTTAAAGCCTTCCCTCTGTCGCAAAAACAAGCTTCAGAAAGCAGCTGTTGCCTTTACTGCCAACATTCTCTTCATTGTTTACATCTGCATGGATACAAATCATATATGTAAACATCTATGTACATTCAGGTAAATCCAACGACATAATATTAAAGTATTACTAATGCAATTACTCATTATTTTGAATTAACTTGTGTTTTCTAACTAATGCTAAAGAAAGCATAAACAGCTCAGACTATCGTATTAAGTCGTTTTAGTGTTAAGATTTAAAGAATCATTTATTTTATTACGTTACATTTATATACAAGTAAATATATAAATTCGTTTTACCAAAGTGTACTTATGTTTGATGATAAAACTCCGAGCATGTTGTTTTTTTAGGAGCAGAAAATATTCCTGAAGTAATTTAGAGGTATTGTTCCGAGTTTGGGTTGTTGTTGTAGCGGTTATCTAGCCCCGTTAGGGTTGTCATCGAGGTCATCTAAGGGTAGGCCCAGAAAGCGTGATGTTTCCCAAGAATCGAGCTTTCGGCCTTGTAAGTTTACGTTTTTACTTAAGTTTGATGATAAAACTCTGAGCATGATGTTTTTGTAAGTGCAGAAAATATTCTAGAAGTAATTTGGAGCTATTTTTCCGAGTTCGGGTTGTTGTTGTAGCGGTTATCTAGCCCCGTTTGGATTGTCACCGAGGTCATCTAAGGGTAGGCCCAGAAAGCGTGATGTTTCCCAAGGATCGAGCTTTCGGCCTTATAATTTGCCAGCGACGTTGCTTTGTATTTGGCGTATTTTTTATTTCTTGTCTATAATTTCCCCTTAACTTATGCTTCTTAATCCTTTCAATTAAATATAAATTTAGGCTTACTTATTCTTTTAGAAAATTGTATAGCGGAAAGATTGGGGGCCAAACAGAACCATACTTAAATTTTAATAAAAATATGATTATTATTATATTTCAATGTAAATATATCCGATAAAAAATTGCGTATTACAATATGTTTAATTAAGTAGTTTGATCTTTTGTAATGATTCATGAGCTGTTATCTGCTGTTCGATCTGTTGAAAAATCAAATCGAGAAGAAAAATATTTATATGAAAATTTTAATGCCGGTTTTACCGGATTATAAGTTTTTTGTCATATCACTTGAGTAATTCAGGGATATCAGTTGGGGACACCCCAAATATATTACTAATATTAATAAAAACTTAAGTACGAAATTAAATTATTATATAAATAATCAAAACATTGTAATATTCACGGGTTTGCTTTAATAGTCAATATCTGTATTATTTGATTGTTTTGAGAATTAAATAATAAGGAAGTAATTTTCCACTATTTTATTTTTGAACTCCCATTAAAAGTTCAGCAAGCACAGCACAGAATAGACAAAATACAAGGTGGGTTCCAAAGTAAACAGTCCTTAAAAAAACAGAACAAATATTTTTCGGCTAAATCAATTGATATTATTCAGAATAGTCTCCTTCATATATGTATATAATATACAGCTTTTTGCATTTTTGCACGGTCCAAAAGCATGTCGAACGAATGGGGTCATATCAGGTGATTACGGAGAGTGGTTAATGGTTAAAATGTCTGTTTGGTCCAATAATCGGTCGTAATCTGCCCTTCGAATGTTAAATTCTGAGCAATTTTTGGTCGTTAGTCAATTTGTGCGGAACAAACCGTGCACACACCTTTCCTAAGCCCAAGTGTTCGGTCAAAATACGATAAATCGAGGTTTTGGAGATGTTCAATTCCATTTCCATGAATTTCAATGATGATTTCGGCTGATTTTTTGATGTATTCACGCACAGTTCCAATGGAATTTCTGGTGATCACGGATTTTGATTGGCCCACATGTTGATCGTCATTTATGTCCTCACAACCACTTTGCAAACGTTGAAACCACTCGTGCGCTTTGCTACTCCATTAAATTGATTCATCAATTGAAATGTTTCAGTAAAAGTATTACCAATTTTAAAACAAAATCTAATGGTGACTCTTTGTTCGAAGCTCATTTTCGCACCGATAACACAAACATACTGACACTTAAAATGCAATAACTTCACTTCCAATCTTTGAAATGTCATGAAATTCTCACTGGACAATCGATAAAGATAGCAGATTCTAACGCACCAGTCGACATATAAATGGCGCCACCAAGGGGCGCTATATTCAAAAATTCCTGTTTACTTTGGAACTTACCTTGTATGTGTCTTTGATAGTGTGAAGCAAAAAATGCAGCTATATGGAGGAGATGCTCCAATTGTGTTTAAATTTAGTTTAATTTATTTTACCGGTGGTGAAATACTTTGAAAGTACGTATCAATATAAATTGGGTAGAACTTCATTCGATATGATAACCCAGTTGAAGATAACAGTAGATTCTCATTGTACAAAAGTTAGGAACATATTGTAGATTAATTAGATTCCTATTTTCAGTGTTTCCTAGGTTTGAAAATTACGACTTGCTACAAAAAATTCGCAATGGATCTCTATGTTTATTCCTACCATCAATATTTATACTCATGCGACATATTGCTATGTATGTAGTTTAATAGTTTTGCTCACCTAAACCTAATCGAGATAGAATTTAGTTATACTACTGTGATAAAATTAAAAGGTGAATTTCGGCAATTCCATCCCCTCCCGCTGCAATGCACTTATGCCAACGAATTTTCCAGTCATCATAGCACTTGGAAAAATCCGCCGTCGTGATGGCCATCAGAGCCTTCTTCGATTCTTCGGCTTTACAATACGGTACCAATGTTATATTTTATTTTATTTGGAAGAAGAAATAAAAATATATAAATATCACAGTAATCAACATGATGTCCGTGGGGAACCGTAAGTGCATTTACGTGCATGTTTGTATCGCCTGGATAATATCTGAATTCATAAGACCTATCCCATTTTTTATCGATTATACTTTTCTTATTTTTGTTTTGACTTTTAACATAATTAAGATATTAACTTTCCTATCTAAATTTATTAAAATCGGTTCAGTAGTTTAACAGTTTATCCCGAACAAAACGTAGCACTTAATTCTTATACGAAAAACGAATCACGTTAAGGTTGAGCTTATGTGGTTAAAAAAAATTGCAAGAGTCGGTGTATCTCCCAAACCTCAAAAGCTAAATCAACAAAATTTACCCAAGACAAATCTTTTCTGTATCTCCTCCGCCAATGTGAAAACGTGGAATCAAACTTTTGGTTTTACATATTTGTTGTTATATCATAATAATATAGAATTATATGAATTTTTCCAAAAATGATTTAGACATCATCATACAGAAACGCTTATTTTGGATTAATTAAACCACTGATTTCTTGTTATATTATATATTAATTATAAAAAAGAAATCGTTTGAATTTGGCACACTCTATGGTATTTTAGGCTGGTAAAAAGATTTAGCTTCATTTACAACCTGTTTGCACAAAAGCAATTCTAAATTAAAAAGTAATGCGCCCGCAACCGTCATACCGGAAATAAATACATATTTATATCATAATTTCTGTATATACATAAGTACTGCATTGACTCCATACATGTGTATACGAGTATAAATAAAGATTTTATTATTTTAGTTTATCACCATTCCTTTATATAAATTATTTTTCTTTGTGATTGCATTCCAATACATTTGTGTGAAAATTGGTTAATTTTATGTTTTAATTGGGGTATTCACAACCTGTCTTATATCGTAAAGTCGTAAAATTTTAAATTTTACACTTGTTTAAAAAAAAAATTGTTGTTGGATTATATACAAAAATGAGTTTACACATTTACAATTCTCAATAATATGTTTTCGAATCGTTATAACTTATAACTTTAGGAGACATGTGAAAACCCTAATTTTTATTTAAACAAGTGTAAAAATTTAAAATTTTACGACTTTACGATGCTTTAAGACAGGTTGTGAACGCCCCAAATATTATTCATATGGAAGTAAGTTGTAATTTAAAATTCCATAAATATTTGTACATCACAGCATTCAATCGGTTTTCACACATAATTTGTTGATTAAAATTTAACTTTCTCTTTCGTGATATCTGGACTCTTATCATTGTCATTATATTTTGTACTTCGATACAAATATAAAAATTTTGCACTCTCCGTAACTGTGTAAAACCTTTATCAAATATCACTGTGGAATGCTATAATGTTGAATGTAATAAATTCCTGCTCCGCTACCTTAACTTGTATCTTGCACGAACGGTCTAAAATTATATTTTTATTGATAAGTTCATGTACTCAAATACATAACATATTATAGTAATCAGTCCAATAAACACTAAAAAAGTTGTCGCGAAGAAATTCTGATTACATAGAATAGTTTTCACTTGCAGGATTTGTTATCAAACTGGAGCCTAAGCCACTATTTACGATATTAAATGGCAAAATATTTCCCTAAGGGGCAAATGCGCCTAATTCCATTTTTTGTCAATTTATTTATATGCATAAGGCCACTTACATCCCCCTGTCATACCACATCAGACGCTCGAGCGATGATATAATTGAAATGGAACTGATGTAACTGCAATTTGTTGTGTGTCTTTATTCTATCATTCCATTCCTATGTACAAAAAATAACAGGCATTGAATATGTACATACATATGTCCATATATGCTTGCTTGCCCAACACAAATAACTATTGAAGTCATTATTACAAAAAAGTGCTCACTGAAAGTTCAAGTTTAAATGAGGTTTCTTTCACATTTCTATGTACACATGTACGTTTGTTAACATTTTTTTTCTCCGGTTGTCTTGACTCTTTGTATATTGATTACCATGTGTGTGGTACCTTAATAAAACTCAGCATCATTTTCTACTAATAATATGTGGTAATTCCAGAAATAGATAAAATCTGGTAAATATTATCAACTATCATAACAGTTGAACTTACCTGACTCGATTCAGCATGATCCACAAAAAAAACACAGAGTGGCTGATGAATTTTGCTACATTAAGAAAATCAAATACTTTGTTTTTTCAGTGTATGGAATTCATTTTTCTTTTATTCATGTTAAAGCTCATTCAATTTTATTAAATATAGCTTGAATGAATGAATGATGGTACACTGGCCACTGTAAGCTGAATGGGCATCTGTACAGAATGGGCCTATCAGCTTGCGCCAACTGCCGGTTCTGTGACAGGGAGCCGAAACTCCGGAGCATCTGCTGATCGACTGCACAGCAGTCTGTATTCGCAGAGCCAAGGCCCTTGGAGTTCCATTTCCGGATATGGATCGCATTGCCTCGCTAGCGCCTAGCAGCCTACTGGACTTCATYAATGGGCTGGGGCTAAGTGAGGCAATGTAAGGAAGGAGAGGGCACAATAGACCAAAGGTCGCAGTGCATTTCTCATTATTATTCATTCATTCATAAATATAGCTTAATTAGTTTTAAAAATAATGGAATTTAAATGCCTCCCCTGCTCGTTGATGCATGTGCGGCATCTTACCAAAAAGTTGTTCATTACTGCTTGGAGAGTTGAGACAGGAATAGCCGCAATTGTTTCTCGAACGGATTACCTTAGTTCATTCAAATTTGTTGGTTTTGCTTTGTAGATTTCCTGTTTGCAATAACCCCACAAAAGTCAGGTGCAGTAAGGTCAGGTGACCTGGGTAGCCAACGGAATGTGGAGTTTCTGGATATCAGCTTATTGGGAAATTTTCTTCGCAATTCTGTCATATTGGGCTATATGAGAAGCTGCATCATCTTTCTGAAACCCCACAGAGGTGAAGAAATTCTCATTCGGCGTAATTCTGGATAGAAAAACTCTCTCAACATGCTCAAGTAACGATATCCAGTAACCGTAACGGTGTGACCGAAGAAGTAGTGATGAAACTGCACACCACACTGTGACAMGAAGTGGATGCAATTCCGTYTCATGGMGTATCTGTGGGTTGGAAGCACTCCATATTCGACAATTTTGTTTGTTTATGTTGCTGCTTAAATCGAAATGAAAAGACAGTTCAACATGTTTCCATCCTCTTCCACCWTTTGAAGCATCTTCTGGCAAAATTCCAAGCGAATCGGCAAGTCTGCAGCGTTCAGTTTGTTGGCCATTTGAATTTTATATGGGAATAAGTCCAAATCTTGGTGCATAATTGACTGTAATGTCTGTCTGCTTACACCCATTTGAGCAGATAAGCTTCTTGTCGAAATAAGTGGATTGTTTTGTATGGCAGAAGCTACAGAAGCGATTGTTTCCTCCGTACGAACTGAAGGGTTTGGATGGTAAAGTCTACTGTTGACTGTCCCATGCTCGGCAAAATTGTTTACAAGTCTCATTATGGTCCATTTGCTCGGAGGATTGCCGCCAAACGTGCGCCTATACTCTCTTTGAACCGAAACTACGGACTCCAGTGCGTGATAGCGGCGGACAATCCAAATTCTTGTTTCAGTGTCCCAGTTATCCATTTTTGTTAAATGTAAAAGTCAATCTGCAAAATNAAAAAAAAAAAAAAAAAAAAAAAAAATTAACCAGATTCATTAAATAGATAAAGAGTTACTTAATTGTTTTTTGGTAGCGGCTTTCATCAGCCACCCTGTATATTCTCAAGTATACCTGACGAATGTCAAAAGTTGATCTCAGACCTTTCTTTGACCCCAATATAGTCCATATCGAGATTTCCGCTTTTGTAACTAACTTTAAACCATTTGGGTTGGTCAAAATTTCTGATAGTTGAACTAAATTAAATAAACAAGTTAAAAAGTATGTAATTAAGCGGTGAATATGAATGAAACTTGTTTAGATCTTGGTCGAAACCTCATATCCCTAACATAATGAATTACTATTTATTATTGCAGGTGCTGTGTGGCACGCAACTCCGTCTTGTTGTAATCGGATTTTGTCAAGATCAACTTCTTCCAATTCCAAGTTGTTCCAAGGCCATAACAGCAAATTTCCGAAGTTCACGGTGGTGCAATGGCTTCATTTCTTAAGTGAGAACAATTTTATATGGACGCAAGCGCAAATCCTTTCTCAAAATCTGTCAGGTTATGTTTTGAGACAGTCCGAGATAGTCTTAGAATCGACAAATTGCGGTCTTCAGCAACATTTGCCTGAACGGCAGTAATATTTTATTACTTCGAGCGGTTCTTTGTCTTATTGGTACTTGAACATTATGTAAAGAAAATGTATGCTCGAAATTTTCAACAATTCGACAAATAGCGAGCACTGGTGGACGATTATTACGATAATAAAATTGCTTAAACGCACGAAAACTTGTAATTGTAACAACGAACACACCTAACACCCCTCTTCAGATGGTCTGAACGCATCTAAACAGTTCGTTTGAATTTTAATATGTCCACAAAACCATGGATTAACGCTGTTCAAGGCTTTTATATTGACGGTAATGGCTCCTAAAATGTTCTGATGTAATATGTTAACTACCTTTCGCCACCTCTGCCCTTGAACCCAGACAAAAATATTTAGTAAATTTCTTTAATTTTAAACTTTATTTTTTATTAAAATTCTTATTCTTTTTATATTTAGATAGTTCTTTAAAAAAAGGAAGATGACTTCTGCGGTAAACAGTGACACATTTGCTGCAACTTCAAGTTCGATCTTCAGTTTATCCAGTACAATTGCAGAAACTGAGTGGTTAGAGGACCTGTTGCACGAGGTACAACTTGAGCAGTTCCTGGAACGTATACGCGATGATTTGCAAGTGACCCGATTGGCCCATTTTGATTATGTGCTACCGGAGGATCTCGAACGTTGTGGTTTGGGAAAACCTGCCGTACGTAGACTTATGGAGGCCGTGCGGAAGAAAAAAGCACATCAGTGGCGCAAAAATATTCTCTCAAAACTGATTGGCGGCGGAAAGCAACCGTCATCGAAAAAGTCACAACAAGCGGTTAATAAGGAACATCAAAACACTCAACTTACGTGTCTTATACACGAAAAAGATATTACCCTTGGCATCAAATTAGGTGATGGCTCATTCGGGGTGGTGAGGCGTGGGGAATGGCACTCCGTCCCAAATGGAAAAGTAATGCCCGTTGCTGTGAAGGTTTGTTTTTGTTAAAGAAAAGTACAAATCAATATAATACCACAATATTAATGTTACAATTAAATTAATTATAGGTGCTAAAATCGGATAATCTCACGCAACCGGGCATAATTGATGATTTCTTCCGTGAGGTGCAGGCAATGCATGCTTTGGACCATTCGAATTTGGTGCGTTTGTACGGTGTTGTTCTATCCCAGCCAATGATGATGATCACAGAATTAGCGGAGCGTGGTTCGCTGTTGGATACATTACGTAAACAGTGCAAACATACACCGTTAACTAACATTTGGAATTGGTCGGTACAAATTGTCACCGGTATGGCGTACTTAGAACACAAACGCTTTCTGCATCGAGATTTAGCATGTAGAAATGTGTTACTTGCTTCCGGCAATAAAATAAAGATCGGCGATTTCGGTCTCATGCGAGCACTTCCGCAAGAAGATGATTGCTATGTGATGTCTGAACACAAAAAGGTTCCCTTTCCGTGGTGCGCACCAGAATCCTTACGGTTCCGGCAGTTTTCACATGCCTCAGATACTTGGATGTTTGGCGTAACGCTCTGGGAAATGTTCACATTCGGTGAAGATCCATGGGTTGGACTAAATGGATCTCAAATATTACGAAAAATTGATAGAGAGGGTGAACGTTTGCATCAGCCAGATGCTTGCCCTCCAGATGTGTATGAAATGATGTTACAATGTTGGGATAAATTACCTGCAGAACGTCCAACGTTCGCTGCGTTGAAGTAAACATCCTTGAACATTTACAATATTAATTATCGTATATGAATATAAAATATATTTTTATTTTAAGGGAATTCTTAGTAGGAATGTCTCCGCCTTTATATAAAGCAGCACGATCTTATCGTGAAGAGAATCGGCTGCAGATCGATGCTGGCGACACTTTGGCCATTATTGATGGTCGCGCTGACTTGAAGCTAATTAAAGGTCAAAACCAACGAACATTTGATATTGGAGTTTTCCCACGCAATATATTGGAAAAACAAAAACACACAAGCAGCGATCTAATACAATCAATGCATGAAAGCATTCGTCAAAGCGGCGGACATTCCAGTTCACCCTTCGGATTTTGCTGGGGTGGAGCTGGAGCAATGAGTGCGAGTGCAGAAATCCAATCAGGTTGGTTACGTAAAATATGCAGTCTCTTAATTTTACTAAATTGAACACATTGATTATAGAGAGAAATCGTAAACCACAACCACACATGCAACAACCAGCGCATCATGTCAAAGAACGGAAATCTGTGTCTAGTAAACAGTTTGCGTACAATAAATTGGTTAATGAGCGTACCGCTGAACTACAGCGAAATCAATCAGTGCAGTTCGCAAAAGGAAAGGGAGTTAATAACATCAAACAAGGCCCTCAGCGCCCGCCTCCACCGCAACAAAAACAAATAGAGGGTATATTGATTGACATTTCACCAGAGTTTGGGCCTCCTGCAACTTCCATAAACTGTGATGAAAGCGGGTCTGTAAAAATTAAAAACTCCTTGTGTTTATTGGACGCACCAATAGATATCCCAACAGAGGGAGAGGAGTATGGTGCAAACTCGTTTGCTTACAGCAGCGCCACAGCACAACAAACATTTTTAACTGGAACTTCGCCGCTGGCACAACGACTTCAACCGCCGCCTTACCAGATGCCACCCACTTATTCGAACACAATTGAATTCACACAACAACAATCACAATCAATACAACATCGTGACCCATTTGATACTAGTAGCGTGCATATGAATTGTGACCAAAATACAGGAAATAATGCAGTGTACACAAATGTAATAGGTCATTCGCCGTACCAGGTGCAACAGTCAATATTGCGCACAAATTCAATACAGTCATTATATAGCAGTCCTACAGCAAGGAAAAGCCTTTTCTCGGGAACATTAAATTCCTCGGGCAATAAAGAGAATGTTCCACAGTCGCTTGCCACAGAAAACCAAAATAATGTGATCTCTGAAAACGAAGATGCGCTCCATACAAGATTGTCTTCACTTACCTTGGAAAAGCCAACGGTTGAATCCTCTACAGAGAGTAATGTTTTGCTGGACCAATCTTTTATTGCTGAACTAGAGAAGGATATGTACAGCAGTAAGGGTCAAAATGATTACGAACGCAATTCCATGCAAATGTATACGAGTAAGGAAAATGTGTACAAACAAAATTTGACGCCTTTAAAAAATTCAACCAGCCTCTCGTGCACAACAAATGCATCAAGCAGCGGAGTTTCTCCTAAACTGCAAAATATCGAAACGTACAACCAAGTACAATACTCAAACGCAGCTATCACTGAAGCACGCAAAAGCCTTAATGATCAGCATAAACTAAATAACCTAGAGGTTGCTGGAACAAATACCACTACAAGTGGTGAGGAGAGAACCGAAGGGCTTACTGAAAACACCCAAGATGTTATTAATCGAATATGGTATGATCGTGTCAATGGCACTTCAACACCTGCAACTTATTACTCTCAAACTCCGGAAAATGCATACCAAAATCAGAGTAATTACGCAGATCGATATGCTAGCGTAATCAATGGCAAGGAGTCAAACCATAGCTTCGTGGCGCTTTCAAATCGAGTTGTGCCGCAAGCAACACAGGGTAGTAAAATATATGAATCTGCGGCTTCTCTGTATGGCAGTGTGAGTGGGTGTGAATTATATGACGCTGTAGCTGCAACACCCTCAGCGTATTATGGTCAAATACCTTTGAACGCCGTTGAGGCTGACAACAGTATTTTCTCTAGTGAATTAACTACAGCATCTGCAGCGCCCGCTGCGATTTACGACGAAGTTACGCTGGACGACTATTTACGTCCACATCGACCAGCACCGTTAGCTCCACCACTACTCTCAACCCAGCAAATACAACGTCGTCTGGAGAAGCTAAAGCAGCATCAGGATGGGGGTGGAAATTTATATGCGCCTGTTCCATCCGAAACCGCAAAGGAAAACGAAAAAATTCAGCAAATACTTAAGGATTTAGGTTCAGCTGCACAGGAAGTAGATGTTCGTAATGCATTAAGAGCAGCAAACGGTGATGCAAATGCCGCAATACGACACTATAAAATTGACCAACTCACCAGGTGCGTTAATTCAAATATCTATGCCATCAATTAAAATCCTTTGTTCTATGTTCTTGTATGTATATATTTGTGTTTATTTACATTTTTTCATATGCCTCTATTATTGCAGACTCGGTCTTGCCAATCGTCCCCAGTGTGAACAGGCGTTACAAAAAACCGGTTGGAGCTTAGAGCTTGCAGCTGCTGTGTTATTAGAAAGTACTTCTTAGAAGATTTACGAATACCGAAATTTCTTAGGTATCCATTATCCCACAATTCATCATTCCAAATTACATCACATTTTCGGCTCGCCAAAATTGAGGGACTATTTTTTTTATAATACAGCTATGTATTAAAAGTAGAAATATTCAAAAGGTAATTATCGAATATAGAAAAAATTACATGTTTTGAATTCATTCGCCGTCCTAAGTTTGGAACAAAAAACGATAATATTCAAAATACCTGATATTAAAACTTTCGAATTAGTAAATTTATTTAGAGCGTAAAGCATTTTATTCATGACTTACAAACTATAAAATATATAACAAGCACACGACGTGTTAAAATACAGATATAAATAAATGAAATCAAAATTCCAATATACCCATGTCAACTAGACTTCAAAATATTATATATATTGAATCGCATGAAAGAATCATCACATGCATAGATATATTTTTATGTAAACAAATAAAAGTATAGAACTTGTTAAATGCACAGAACTGAGTTACTTGTAGTTATTACAAAGAAAAGGCTTTTCAAAATATTTAGAAAACTTGAAATATGTTTAAAAAAATCTTTAATTTTCTTAATGTTACACGGATCTATTCTATAACGAGAGAAATGTTATGTTTTTAAAATAAGAAGTTCTGTACAGTACTGTGTTCACAATTTGATTTTAGAATAACGGTTTAAAAAAATTGTAAATTCATTTGCTTGTTTAACCTACGCAGTTCTTTTGGGATCGATAATTGCTATAAAGGAATTTCTTTAATTGGTCATAATTCTGGCCTCGTTTACTTTTAAGGCTGAAGTAGTATTTTGGCACTATACATTTTTAGGCTCGGAAGATTTGGGAAATATTTCTACTACTGCAATCTAAAACCCCGGTGATCCGATATTCATATCGGCTGATATATCTTTTTTGCCTAGTAGTGCAGACACTCACTCACTCACTTGAGTGTAAGTGATAATCAACATGGCTTCCAACAAGTGTACAAGTGTGGATCGATCTGGCAAAGGCATCAAATATGATAGATACGCTGCTTGTAATGTTCTGAAATCGAAGACAAAAAGCTGAGGAACATTTACGATACGACAGAAATAAAACTTGACAAAGAAACACCAAGAGTCTGCGACCGACAAACAAAACGCGAAAATTTCTGAGTGAGAACTTGTTACAGGGTCCCAGTGTACATTTCTCTGTTGGATGCAATCGGTGAAGTTTTGAAGACGCCCTTTTCTAGAGAAGTATTGGATGGATTTCAACTGAGTTTGCTGCTTCCAGAAAAAGTATGTGCTTTGAAAACCAAAGAAAAGGAAAATCTTATTGACTGCTTGATAGATAGATACAAAGGACTTTTGGATAATGACAACGTCAAATTTTTCTATTCAATACATGAACTGATTACAGTATTATACATTGCAATAAAGTATGTCGCCCGGACGTCTACAATTTATAATGAGGTTTCTCATGATATTGAACTATAAAGACACTGTATTTAATATAATAATCTATATATTTCAAGTAAATGTTTATTTTACCCCCCAAAAAAACTATTTCTGGGTTCGCCCCTGCTCAATATACAGCAACATTGTACGAATGTTCCATTACACGCTGTAAAAATTTCAATTTCTTAAATTATAAAAGAACAAAAAATAGCACCTACATATTTTAAATCAGATGATGCATTGTTTTTGTTCAGAATTAGCGGCCCATGCCGCTATAACTCAAATTGAGCGGCATTCACGCACAAACAAAGCAAAAATGCTTCTCTCCAAACTATTTTGTGAGGATGTTTCCGTAGATTTCTCAGATTGCATGCATCGAAAGCCAGCTCAGTATAATCTTGTTAAAAATGTAAGAATTTATAGGTAAACTACATATGTACATATATACATTTTTGATTGTAGGCTCGTTTATGTAGATTGTGTTGACTCCTACATGCCTTAAGCCAGTCTTGTCTCACCCCCTTAATATGATCATTGCAATGTCTGAAGCATTACATATGTGCCTGTGTTGTTGGTATTTTTAAAATGTAAATACATATAGAGGTCATGTGTAGAAGAAGTTCACGCAAGTGACGAAAGTTCTTTGATCGCCATTACTTGAAAGTGGCCAGAAAAAATTCTTTTACACATGACTCAAGCAGCTCACGATTTCCGGTTTTTGACCAAGTATCCTCTGGGTAGCCTAAGAACATCCGTTTTATGGCGAGCTAATGTGAGAAGGCAAATATCCCCTACATAGGGTTGTGCGCTGGGTGTGGGACTCGCCACGTAAATAAAATACCCCCCGTGAATAGTTATAACCAGCCTTGCTGCTGTTAACTCGGCTATAATCGCGTAAGCGGTGTCTACGTCAATTAAGAAGAAGAAGAAGAATAAGAAGAAGAAGAAATACATATGTAAGTAGAGTTTTATTAACATATTGCAACGAACGGACTGCAATTTTCTCAAAATATGTGCAAACATTGCAAACTACAACTTAAATAAATTTATGGGAATGTCGTTATGCTGATTTTACGCGCAATTACGTCGATTCGACGTTACCATAATGATCTTTTTCTGTCGCGAGACGTTACTATTTTTATATAAATATAGGAATTCGTGTTAAAAAAATACTAGTAGGCCTTTAAAGACGCTTGGCCAACAAATATTGTTGATTTCATAATTTGCATTAGGTAAAAGTTGTACATATTGATAAATACACAATCGTTTGGAAGTTAGGAAATAACTTAACTCATATGAATTGAAATTGAAAACCTTACCTTTAAAATATTAAGTAAGGTCTAAGAATGAAACCGAACCACTGATAATGTTTGATAAATCCCTCCACTCACCATTGAAAACTACTAAAAGTGCGATGACCCAAACTTAGCTCGTCCTTACTTGTTTAATATAAAGTTTTGCAACAGCTGAAAATATTTCCCCGGCTTAGTTCCTTTTAAATTTCGATGTCGGCCTTTTGAATGGCCTCTACGTCTGCATAACGCTTTCCTTTCATGGGCAAATGCATTTTTCCGAAAAGGAAGAAGCGCGGAACAAACCGTAAGCCCAAATGTTTGGTCAACATACGATAAATCAATGGAATTTCCGGTGATCACGGATTTTGATTGGCCCACATGTTGATCGTCATTTATGTTCTCACGACCACTTTGCAAATGTTGAAACCACTCGTGCACTTTGCTACTCCTTTAAATTGTTTCATCAATTGAAATGTTTCAGTAAAAGTATTACCAATTTTAAAACAAAATCTAATGTTGACTCTTTGTTCGAAGGTCATTTTCGCACCGATAACACAAACATACTGACACTTAAAATGCAATAACTTCATTTCCAATCTTTGAAATGTCATGAAATTCTCACTGGATAATCGATAAAGATAGCAGATTCTAACGCACCAGTCGACATATAGATGGCGCCACCAAGGGGCGCTATATTCAAAAATTCCTGTTTACTTTGGAACGCACCTTGTATATGTACAATATATACCGTAAGCTGCAGAGGGAAGGGTGACGCATTTACAAACAAAGAAGAGAGAGGCCAAAATGCTTGAATATGAAGAGGCTGACCTGCTGGCTGATAGGAGAAATGCTCGAAAATTGTACAAAAAGATGCTACGACTAATAAAAGGTTTCAAGACCGAAGCATACTCTTGCAGAACACCCAAAGGTGATCTTATAACCGATACCCAGAGCATACTAAAAATATGGAGGAAACTCTTCCCCAGCCTGCTGGAATTCAGTGAAGGCATAACATCATAAGATGGCGAACGCGATTTCCCAATCGATGATAATGAAACAGACGTTCCATTTCCTGACCACGAAGAAGTTCGAATAGCAATTACCCGTCTGAAGATTAACAAAGCGGTGGGGACCGATGGATTGCCGGCCGAGGTATTCAAACACATCGGCGAAGAACTAATAAGGAGCTTGCATCAGATTCTTTGTATAATATGGTCCGACGAAAGCATGCCCGACGATTGGAATTTAAGTGTGCTCTGTCAAATCCACAAAAAGGGAGACCTTACAATATGCACCAACTAGTCTCTTCAACATCGCAAATAAGGTTTAATCGAATGTATTGTGTGAAAGATTAAAGCCCACCGTCAACAAACTGCTTAGACCTTACCAGTGTAGCTTTAGACCTAGCAAATCAACAACTGACCAGATATTCACCATTAGCCAAGTCTTTGAAAAGGCCCATAATTTTTCACGATAGACACACTCCATCTCTTCGTCGATTTTTAAGCTGGTTTTGAAAGCACGAAAGGAGCTGCCTCTATGCCGCTATGTCTGGATTTGGTATCCTCGCAAAACTAATACGGCTGTGTAAACTGACGTTGAGCAATACCAAAAGCTCCGAGAGGATCGGGATGTAAGGAGTGTACAGCTGTAGGCGTACGCTGATGATATTAATATCATTGGCCGTTAGTTCTGCTTTCTTCAGAATGGATAAAGAAGCAAAGAGCACGACGGCAAGAGGAAATATCTCCTGTCATCAAACAAACAGTCGTCGCACTCGCGACTAGGCTCCCATTCGTAGATAATATCTTGTATCTTGGAACCAGTCAATAATCTCGAAATCCAACGCAGAATAACTCTTGAAAGCGGGTGCTACTTCGGAATGAGTAGGCAATTGAAGTCATCTCTCGACGAACAAAAACCGAACTCTACAAGTCACTCATTATTCCCGTCCTGCTATATGGTGCAGAGGCATGGATGATGACAACATCTGATGGGTCGACCTTAAGAGTTTTCGAGAGAACGTTCTGCGGAAGATTTATGATTCTTTGGACGTTGGCCAGGGCGAATATCGCATTGTTGTGGAACGATGATACGACGCCATTGACATAGTTCAGCGAATTAAAAGACAGTGGACGAAAGCACTCCAGCTCTGAAAGTATTCGACGCTGTACCCGCCGTCGAAAGCAGAGGAAGAGGAAGACCTCCAATTCGTTGGAAAAACCAGTTGGAGAAGGACCTAGCTTCGCTTGTAATCATCAATTGGCGACATAATGCGAAAATAAGAAACGACTGGGACGCTATTGCTAACTCGGTTTCTACGCCCTTACAGAAGAAGATATGTATATCCCATATAATGGTATTTTTAATGAAACAGATATTTTTACATAAATTTATATGGGAATATCGAAATACACAGCGACCCATTTTAAAATTAAACTAAACATTTTTCCTTGCATCGATTTTTTTCTCTGTACATAGACTCATTTTAATCCATGAATTCGAAAGTGTTGTTTTTGATTCACCCTAATATACATATGTATATAATACATATGTATGTATGCTGAATATTTCGAATGAGTTTGCTATTTGCAATAAAAGAGGGGATCATTGAAAAAGGTAGTATTAGCTTTTTTAAAACTTGCATTGAACAATGCCCTTGTTAAATTAGTTGAATAAATACGTATGAGCAAAAGTGTGTACGTAAATAATGTTATTGTTACGGTTTATTAAATTGACAAATATTGTTTTTGGGG